CTGGAGAAAAATGAAAGGCTTTATTGGCTTAAGCCATTGTAATGAGGTTTCTGTAGGACGTAACTAAAGGTAGTTGTAGAAAATTTTTTTTAACTCTCTATAAAAAGAATGAAGCCAGAGTCAAAGAAGAAGAAACCACACATGAGGGAGAATCAATTAAAAACCCACTGCCATCATGGAGAATCAGATTAGGTCATCCCCCACAAGGGATGGCAGTGTAGCTACCTCAGGAGATCTCAACTACAAAGAAATTATGGAAACGACAGGAAGGGAATTCAGAGTATGGATGGCAAAAATGATGAAATGAATTGAAGGGAAAGTGGAAAACCATCAGAAGGAAATCCAAAAATTGACCCAAGAGTTTAATGAAAGAAAGGACAAAGTCTCCAAGAATCTATACACAATAGAAACTATATGAAGGAGCTAAAAGAGTTAAAGGAGTCATTCAGAGAGTTTCAAAACGTTATACAAAATTTCGGTAACAGATTACACCATGGAGAAGAAAGAATCTCAGAGCTTGAAGGCAAGGCTCTCTAGCTAACCCAGTCATCTTAAGGGACAGAAAAGAAGAGAGTAAAAGCAGAGTAATCTCTTAGAGAATTATGGGACTACATGAAGCACACCAACATAGGAATTATAGGTATCCCCCAAGGGGAAAAAGAGATTCCAAATAATATGGAAACCTTAGTGAAGGATGTTATAGTTGAAAATTTCTCTAATATTGATATAGAATCAGACATTCATTTCCTTGATGGATATCAAACCCTGGGCTGACTCAATTTTAAAAAGAGCATCACCTAGACACATTGTAATTAACCTTGCAAAGTCAAAGTTAAACAGAAAATTCTGAAAAATGAAAGAGAAAATTCTTCAAGCAGCGAGGCATAAGCCACAGCTCACCTACAAGGGCAAACCCATCAGACCACAGAATGTCAGCTGACTTCTCAGCTGAAACTGTACAAGCTAGAAAAGTGTAGACTCCCATCTTCAATCTTCTCAAACAAAACAATTGCAAACCTAGGATTCTGAACCCTGCAAAACTAACTTTCATCTTTGATGGAGAATTTCAATCTTTTACCAGCAAGTAAACCTTGAGGAAATTGTCATTGAGGAAGTTGACCATCCCTGTAGGAAGTACACAGACCAAGGCAATGGATCACCAGCAAGGTAAAGACACCTAGAAACCAAAGGACAAAACCTCGCTTCCCCAATGGCTCAAGTGATACAACAAGGTAACGGTCCTCCACACAACAAAATGAACAGAAATCCATCCTAGTTACCAATTCTCTCAAATTAAATGGCTTGAATTCCCCACTGAAGAGGCTAGCCAACTGGATAAAAAAGTACAAACCAAGTATTTTCTGTCTTCAGGAAACACATATAACTCCTGAGATCAAGACTCAGGATGAAGGCTTGGATAACAACATTTTAGGATAATGGTAACCAAAAGAAAGTGGGTGTTGTAATCCTCTTTGCAGATACAATTGGCTTTAAAAGAACAAAAGTAAAGAAAGATAAAGATGGACACTATATATTGGTCAAGGGAACAATACAACAAGAAGATATATCAATTTTAAACATATATGCACCTGACATAAATGCTCCCAGATTTATAAAACAAACCCTTCTTGGTTTGAACAACATGATAACTAATAACACCATAATATCTGGGGACTTCAACATCCTACTGACAGAACCGGACAGATCCTCCAACCAGAAACAAAGGTAGTCCTTTATGGTTCAGGGAGGCGTTATCATATATTGTGATAAAGAACATGGTCCTTCAGGCTTGCTGTCTGTAGCTCAGCAGCTAGGCTGCCAGCCACATACACGGGAGCTGGCAGTTTTGAACCCAGCCTGGGTTTGCCAAACAATAATGACAACTACAACAACAACAAAAAATATCCAGGCATTGTGTTGGGCACCTGTAGTCCCAGCTACTTGGGAGGCTGAGGCAAGAGAATCTCTTAAGCCCACAGTTTGAGGTTGCTGTGAGCTGTGACGCCACCGTACACTACAGAGGGTGACATAGTTAGATTCTATCACACACACACAAAAAAACCCAACCCAAAACATGGTCCTTAAAAGGTCCCATGGTCCTTGTTTTTATTTTTTGTTGTTGTTGTTTTGAGACAGAGTCTCACTTTGTCACCCTGCATAGAGTACAGTGGCATCATAGCTCACAGCAACCTTAAACTCTTGGGCTCAAGAGATCCTTTCGCCCTCAGCCTCCCAAGTAGCTGGGACTACAGGTGCCTGACACAATGCCCAGCTAATTTTCAGAGATGGGGTCTTGCTTTTGCTCAGGTTGGTCTTGAACTCCTGAGCTCAGGCTATCCACCTGTCTCAGCCTCCCAGAATGCTGGGATTACAGGCATGAGACACTGTGCTCAACTGGTCCTTCAAGTTACATGGACACAGCTTGAGTCTCAGCTGTGCCACATACTAGCTAGCTATGAGAAACCTCCCTCCACCATGATTCCCTTTTCTGTAAAGTAGGAATGACAATATTACCTAATGCTGTCTCAACATATAGCACTAGGGTAACCAACATGTACCAGTTTGCTTAGGACTTTCCCAGTTTTTAGCACTGAAAGTCCCATATTCTGGGAAACCACTTAGGGCTAGGAAAACTGAGACAGCTGTTCAATGTATTAAAACATATTGTCCAACTGCCCTACTTCCTTTTACATATGGAAGACTGGGCTCTGAAGACTAAAACTTGTATTTGATGCTGCCCCGTAGTGGTGGAACATAATATAACATCACTGAAAAGAGAAGCTTTATGTTACATAGTTTTCTTAACAAAAATAGCAAGTCACAGATAGCCAGAGGCAGAGTTGGAACATTCCTCTAACCATCTAGATTTAAATGTAGAACTGCTGTAACCCCACTCTGTTTTAGTATTTGTTGATATCTGCCAGTAAATATGGTGTTTGGTAGGACTGTTGCAAACATGAATCCCACAGACTCTCTTTAAAGTTTATGGGTATCAGGTAAACTTGAGTTAAACTCTGGGCTCTGACTCTTCCTTTGGAAAAGTGACTTCACCCCTGAGCCTTTTTCCTCATTTGCATTAGAGACTTTCTTCAGAATGTTGTGAAGATTGATAAAGAAACTTGTGGAACTCTTGTAGTTGGTACTACATGGTACCTTTACTACTGACAGAGTTGTCCATAAGCCAGGGCTCGGGTCATTCCTCTGCTGAAGGGCTGTGCAGCTTGAGGCCTCTGCTGGCCAGTCACGGAGACCTCTTCATCAAGGCCAGTCTCAGTTGACAGTCTGGCTCAGAGATCAGGAAGGCCTGTGCAGCTACTCTGATGAATTCAGCTGGTTCCTTTTTAGCAGAAGCAATTACCACTCATTTGAAGTGGCTCCTGGGCTGGCATTAATACAGGGGGTACAATCCATTCAGCTTGGTGGCCTTGGGCAATGCGAGTTAACTGGAATCCAGGCCAGAGCTCTGTGCTGGCCACTATTAAAGCCAGAACTGCAGTGTAAACCTCAGCTATTTTCTGCTTTCTATTTGTGGCTGTGTTTACACATACCAGGGTACACCCACCCTAGTCAGGGCTGCTAAATCTGTTTATAAGGTTTCCTGAAGATTCAGAGAAAGAGAAACATGCTTCCCAGCCTCTTCTCTATCAGTCTTTAAGAGTTCTAGAAAAAAGAATGACCTACATCTTCCAGAAAGTCTAATTCTGCTATGGCTACAAAGACCCTCAAATAGGCTTAACAGCAATATTAGATTAAGTCCTTCAATTCTGTTCAATGTTGGAAAAAGAATACTCATATTAATAAACACTTGTGGCTATATTGAGAAAGGGTTAACTGCTCAGCTGGGCTAGAAAATCAACACGAGTGCTTGCTGGCTTCTGTTTTATTTTATGTAAAGTATTGTAGTCCTATTTCAGTATTTGGTTTTAAGTTTCTACTTCATGCATTTTTAATGAGATTTTAAAAAATACCTCCAATCCATACTATGAAATATTAGTGGCCATAAAAAGAGCTATCTATGTCTATACTTACCTATCTATCTACCATCTTAATATGGAAACGTCTTCAAGACATAACTACTTGGAAAGTAGGTCAATAAAAGTATTTTTCAGGAAAGCAAGTCACAGAACAATATATAAAAAAGATCTTGTTCCTTTTAGTCCATGTATTTCTGTATTGTTTATTTTCCAGTGTGCATGTATTAATAAAGACCAGAAAGCCAAATAAATACAAGTATACAGCCAAACCTGTCATGAATTAAGCCCTTGGACCAGTGCCCAGAAGCCAAGGACCATGTCCATCCACCTCAGCCCAGGGATGTCCATAATGCTCAGTGTTCACTATGGAAGGAAGTGTCTGACAACTTGATATTGAGAATGATCTTTTAATGCTGTGCATACCCATTGTCTTAGGAGGCAAAACCTGTATTTACACTTTTGGTGGTGGCTCTTAGCCAAAATATTTACTTTTACCAAAAGATGCTGTAAATGATTTTTTAAAAATCCAAGTTACTTTTGTTTTTAAATCTCGAAGCTGTTGTTTAGCAGTTAGTTAGTTCTAATTCAGATATATTGTGAGCAAGGGCACACAACCCTGATTAGGCTTTAAATATTTGAGGGGGATAACACAAATTTCAGCAATAAATGAAGCAGTTAAATCTTCAAAATACTGGTTCTTACATGGCAAGAACTACAGTGACTTCAGGTACAAGCCATTAGCAAGCCAGGTTAGGGTGCCGGCCACATACACCGGGGCTGGCAGGTTTGAACATGCCCAGGCCTGCTAAACAACAATGACATCTACAACAAAAAAATTGCTGGGTATTGTGGTAGGCGCCTGTAGTCCCAGCTACTTGGAAGGCTATACAAGAGAATCGCTTCAGCCCAAGAGTTTGAGGTTGCTGTGAGCTATGACGCCATGGCACTTTACCGAGGGCCACATAATGAGACTCTGTCTCAAAAAAAACAAAACAAAAGAAACAAAACAAAAAAACCATTGCGATGTAAGTATTTTTCAAAAATTTATTTATAGAAACACATATTCAAAGTAACATCGGGGGAAAACAAAGAGCTGGAATGCCAATGACACGGGAATCTCACTTGTTCTTTACATTTCTCTGAATAGAATTAGCACCATTAGTTCAGAAATCACAGATTTAATTATAATTGCTTGCTTCTAATATATAAAACACCTTGTAAAGATTTTTTAACTACCTAGTAACAAAGTTCTTCCAAAAACGTATTTAAAAATCAACCAAAATTTGCCATTTGAAACTGATGGAAATGGTCTAGAAATTGATCCGATTTTACTGCTTGTCCAAGGGAATGAGTCATAATTAGTTTTATTGGCAGAAAGTACCTGAATTCATCTTCTGCCTCCTTCTAACTACCAAGCAGGTACAGCAAATTGAATATTACTATAGGAATCAGAGCACATCTAAAACTGGCCTTAGAAAATATTTTCCTAGACTATAAAAATACTAAATACAAAAATTTTAGCATATACAGCAAAGAGACTACAGCAGACAAATTTTAAAACATACTCAAAACTATTTTGTACCACAATCATCGTGAACATCAAGTATTCTAGTAATTTTTCTATGATTCATTCTGACTCAATTTTTATTTCCCCTTCAAGTTTTATAGTAGTGTCAGACACAGAAAAAATTCTGTATTTCTAGCAGAAGTTATTGGAGAGACCATTAAATAATTCTTAGTATTCAACCGGTTCTCAAAGTGCTAGAAGTGCAATTGTAGTAGAGAGTATTTTTTAGATCCGGGGACAGCAAACTATAGCCTGGGGCCACCGCTTATTTGTTTGGCCTGTGCACATAGCCACACTTAGTCATTTACGTATTGTCTGCGATTACTTTTATGTCATAGGAGCAGAGTTGAGTAGCTGTGACAGGTTAAACGTGGCCTTTTGGGCCACTCAGTCCAGATATTTACTATCTGGCCCTTTATAGAAAAAGTTTGCCAACCCCTGTTTTAGATAAACCATTTAAAAAACAAGGACAAGATAAAATTGTCCAAGACTAAGAAAACTGTGGCTGAGGTTTGCTGGTTCTGTCATACAGTACCATAGGGGGCCGAAAGAATACAAACTTAAGAGTGGCAACTTTGGGTACTGAAGTATTTTCTGACATTCTAAACAAAGTCTAGCTATGATAAAGTACCTGCTTTTCTCTGTGAACTGGCCATTTTGTACCAAGCAACTCACATACCAGAGTATAACAACGTGCTACCATTCAGCCCAAACCATCTATGTGGCTCCCAACACAACTTTTAGTCTCTAAAAATCAATAGTCCTATATCCTTAGCAACAAGCAGAACCAGAAGCGGACCTTTCCTAGCCCTCTGCGTTGGCGCAGTTCTACAGTGCTGTATCACATACCTTTTAGAATCCTTCCCTGTGACACGCATCATAGTAATTTGTACTACTGCTATCCAGGGCCACAAACATGTCCCTTTTGACAAAGTGGACTAAATTTTCAAGGGGGCACATGGGCTTGGGAGAACGCTTCTGGTGGTCCCGGCAGAAAGAGGTGTGGAATGTGACGTCAACACCATTGTAAAGGATCCGGACGGCATGTTCACCGGGCTTTTCTCTGTCTTGCCAAAGCTCAAAGATCAACCTGGCTGCAAACCTCGGGAACCTGGCTTCTGAAAGGCCCAAGGCACTGAGAACTGGTGACAGAGTGACATCGTGAGCGGAGTAGAGGGCAAAGATCTCTTCTTTCCTGCCTTCGGCGGCACGCTGCATTCGGTTGATGGTCTGATTCAGGATGGGGTGGGCACCCAGGAGTGAATACCCGAGGTACAGCTTCTTCTCCCGCCTCTCTCTTTCATCCTCGATCTGGTGCGTCTTAATCACCTTGAAGTGCTCCATGCCGATGCAGCCGTTCCTGGTGCAGGGGAAGCTGACGTTGTGGCAGAAGTGGCAGAGCATGGAGTCCACAGGGTTGGCAGCTCGGAGCTGCTTGGTGGGCACGTCCACGATCTTGGCCATCTCCCCATAGGTCCTCTCCAGCTGGCTGTTTTTCAAACGTAAGAGGTACTGGCGACGCTGCTCCTTTTCCAGATACTGGTTTCTCGTTGGGCAATAGCAGTTTGCAGAGCAGAACAGAGCACTTGGCTGGTGCCTGAAATAAATCTTCTTCCAGTCAAAATCTGGGAGAAAGCCGTAAAGCAAGGCCAGCCCGCTTTGTAGGGTCCGGCTTTTCCCAGTGGTCTCTAAATAAAGCTGGTCTGTGGCCCAGTCGCTTGGCAGGAGTTTGTGTTTCTTCAGATAGACGTCCCTCAGCAGCTGGCCATTCTGCAAGTGCTGCACAACTCCTGAAACACGGGGACACAAAGCTTTCCTTACTACAGGCTGAGCAAAGGAAGGCGAGGGGACCTTGAGTTAGTGTCCCACTAACGTCCCACTCTGGCATGTTCTAGATCAGTATAACACAAGAGAATCAAACCCGTTTCTCCACCAAGTAGGAGTTACAAGAACGGAGTCACATCAACCTGCAAAGGGAGCCTCTGGGGGTGTCCATGCAGGCATGAGCGGAGTGGGGACTTGGGCTCTGGAGGCACGGCCTTTGTGGGGAGTGCAAGGACCACTTGCCTCACCCCCTTTCTCCACTGGCCCCTTCCCTGGGGATAGCACTGTGACCAGAGGCCTCAGGGGTTAAGAATCACCCAGTTGGGAGAGGTCTGGCCTCCCAGCAGGCTGAAGCTTTCTCCTTCCTGCCCAGGGACAAGCATCCAGGCTGGCTCAGGGAAGTCAGTCAGGGAAGGATGGACTGACTGTGTCTGCCTGCTGCTGAGTCTCTCTCTGCTGAACATTCCCTCCTTAACCCCATCTTCCTTCATCTGCCCAACCCAGTGCTCTCTGCTCAACTCCGGGGCACATTCTGTCTAATCCTGTTGGGGGTTCACAGGTTCAGCAATGAGGATGTGCTCTCCTCGTGATATGGAACAGTCTCCCAGATAGCCAGGAAGAATACCTGGAGTGTATTGAGCTCCTTTAAGTAAAAAAGAGGGGAAAAATAAAAACCTATGTTTGCAGTTGCCTGTGTTTTACATAAACTCTGGAATGATGCACAAGGTCATCGTTAATGATTAACTAATGTCAACAGTTACCTGGGGATGACAGGGGCACAGAAATGAGGTGGACGGCACATGCGTAGAAGAATTCTAAGGTTACTTTTCAGTGTTGTTTTAGTTGTGAGCCACCATAGTACATTAAAAAATTAACTTTTGAAACAATGAATCAGCCTCATCTTCAAGCAGGGGAAAAGGCAATCCGGGATAAAAGTAAGCTCGCCCTCCAGCCTGCAAGATGTAAGGAGATGCTATCTCAGTAACCGGTTCGAATTCTTTGTAGGTGTAACTACACACAGGCCCGGTGACCAGTAAGGTCATTTATTCAGATGTCCAAATGGTTTGAAAAGTTCCACTGCAAAGATGAGACAACTTAGGCTGAAAAGTATATGACAGAGAAATGTGTTGGCCCAGAAGGGGAACGGATCAGCAAAAAGCCCAAATAACGTGGTTCTACTGTGATTGAGGAGTTTTGTCGTTTTTGTTTTCTGTCTCATTATGTTGCCCAGGTTGATCTCCAACTCCTGGCCTCAAATAATCCCCCTCGGCCTCCTGTGTAGCAGAGATTACAGGCTTGTGCAACAAGAGACTCAAGAGCAGAATTTCCCCAAGAACCTGGGCTGGCTCAGGCTTAGGCATTGCCACAGTGATTTGCAAAGAAAGGGCAAACCCTGAGTGAGATTCTGTGTCTGGCTTGGGCTCCCCTCTGGGTATATTTTCTTTTCTGAGGCTACACATTTTAAAGGGAGGAGAGTGCTTACTGTGCGGAACCAGGCCTTTCTCACTTAATCCTCACAAAAACCAGGGAAGGCAGAAGGCCTGTTACTGTTAGCACGCTGGTTTTCCTTCTTTTGCAGAAGAAGAAACTACAGATGAGCTATTCACAGTCAGGAAGCGGCAGAGCCCAAACTCAAGGCCCCACTTGACTCCGCTCTGAGTCGCTGCTCACAGCACTTTCCCTGACATTTTCACAGAAATGCTAAGTTCTAGCCACTTACGGCTTCCTGTACTTGCCAAACGCAGCCTGTATCTTCATAACTGTTCATGCTGTTCCTCTTTCTCTGCCTACAAGAATCTTCACCTGGCCCCTGGCTCCAATACCATTTTCTTTGCAGAGCTATCCTTCCTCTCCCAAGTCAAATACGGGATTCCTGCCTGCTCCCATGTGTCGCTGGACCTCTATGACATTAGCTGAGAACCCGTCACAGGCTAGCACTGTGCACGGCATGTGTGCTACCCCATCTAATTCACCTCCAGTTGCGTCAGCAGATATTATCTGCCCTGCTTTACAGGTCTGTCAGACTCCGAAGCCTGTGTTTACTCTCCAAGACCCTGCAGCTTCCTGGGCTCCCTGCGCATTATCTGTGCAGCTGTGGGCTCTTTTAGGCCGGGCGAGAGGGTCTTATTCATCTGGCCACCCTCCCACGCGCAGCAGCTGTCTAAGCATCTTTAACAGAGTAGGCACTAATGAGCAATCTTATCTTTCACAGTCACTGTGGGGTGCCGTAAGTGTGCCAATTACGAGTGATTATTATAACAGCTATGTATTTTTCATGACATTTAAAATAGAAGATACAAGTGACCGTTAAAAGGAAATGAGGGAACAGGAACAAACACTATTGCAAAAATGATTTGGAGAGTAGTACTGATTTAGAAAACAAGGATGACAATAGATCAATTGAGAAGAAAGGTCTGAATGAGGTGTGTGAGACCCCCTACCCCTGAAACCTCTTGTCAGGGTACAGCCTTGGATCCAGAGACCGCCCTCGGCCCCCCTCTTCTCTGCACAGTCTTCCTGATCTGTTAGCCAGAGCAGGCACTGACCCACAGGGACCTTGAAATATTCTCTCTCTCAAGAATCTGGGCTTGCGAGTTCGTTTCTGGGTGTGGCTAGCACTGCCATTCTGTTGACAAAGACAACAGAAAACCACAGAGAGAGGCAAGGACAAGGTAGCATTTTTGTTTGTTTTTCTGAGACAGAATCTCACTCTGTCACCTTGGGTAAAATGCTATGGCATCATTGAAGCTCACAGCAACTTCAAATTCTTGGGTTCAAGGCATCCTCCTGCCTCAGCCTCCCAAGTAACTGGGACTACAGGCACCAGCCACAACGCCTGGCTAAGTTTTCTATTTTTAGTGGAGATGGGTTACGATCTTGCTCAGGCTGGTCTCCAACTCCTGAGCTCAAGCAATCCACCTTCCTCAGCCTCCTAGAGTGCCACTATTACAGGCATGAGCCACAAAGCTTAGTGAGAGAGCTTTCTTATTTCCAGCTCCAGTTTCTGGAGGCCTGGTCATACTCTGGATCTTGGGAATCTGTGAGTTACCCCTGAATCCTTATGATAAATTTTACTTTTGGCTTGAGTTGGTTTCTATTATTTGCAACCAGAGGATCTACGTGTGGTTCTTACCAAGGTCGTAGTGCCCTGAGGGAGGGGCTGCAGGTGTGGTTATTATAATAATATGGGGAAGGATCTTCCTGGCACCTAATGGGTGGGGGCCAGGGGCTTGACAATCTCCACAAGGGACAACAGTCTCTGTCTCACATGACTTGAATGCACTGTAAGACATTCCCACATGTGAAAAACCTGCCTGATTACCTTAGTTCACAGTAACTAACCCTGGTTTGTTATGTCTATGAAACATAAGACCATTTCTGCATAACATTAACATCCATCGAATTTTCCAAAAATGCAATATAAATTAAGAAACATCTGCATATTGCTTTGATCAGAACTCATTAAAAAACCATGTCCTGACACGTTGTTAAGAGTCACCAGTACAACATCCATACATCTGAGTTTGCCGCTGTCAGAGGCACCAATCCACTTTGGTACAATGATTTCATTTCTTCCTTCTATTTTCTAGTGTAGCTGTTCTCAACCATTTATATGAAGATCTAGAGAACTGCATAATAAATTAATTTCCTTAACTTGTAATAACCATTTGGGCCCCTGATATAACTTATTAAAAATTAAGTATATAGAAGGGTTCTGTTTAAATTTCACTTTAGGATAGCTAGGAGGGGTTGCAAAATACATGTTAATTGCTTTCCTAATTTTTCTTCATGAACATGTACTGCTTTTGTAATAATAAAAAAGGTCATATTTGTCTTTTATAAATCAGATGTTTAATTAGATGCCTTGGTGACTCTAATTAAAAATGAGGGATTAAAGGTTACCTAGGTGAAGGATGAGGGAGATTCTATGCAGGCATGAAAGAGCAGATGGGAGCGTACTGAGCAAACAGAGTCCATCCTCACCCCTCTGAGTCCCCAGCACGCTACCTAGGAGCATCCCCACAAATGTACAGGCATGGCAGAGCGGATGGGAGAGCACTGAGCAAACGGAGTCCATCCTCACCCCTCTGAGTCCCCCAGCACGCTACCTAGGAGCATCCCCACAAATGTACAGGCATGGCAGAGAGGATGGGAGAGCACTGAGCAAAC